TAAAACATGCATGTACTAGCAGTGACATGTTTAAAAAACACCTTGTTTCTAGAGCCATTGAAGCAAATGGATGTTCCATGGGTTTATTGTTATGGTCATTCAGTGTTGCCTGGAGATGTCCTTCATACCATGTACTAATGATCCTTTCATATAGTTAGGAATGTCCTGATGTTCCTGTCCTGACTGGGAGAAACCTGTGATGATGGGTGACTTCTGTCCAGATGCAACGAGGGCTCATGTTCAGCAAACCAGTTGACTTGAAGACGCAGTGAAGAGTTTGTACAGGTGAGACAATGCTTCGAAACTTACAATCATGTTACATTTTTTCTCAGCTGTGTTAAAACTCAGAGGCAAACTCAACACACAATGTCATTCGCTTAAAAGATGACAGTAAAACTGTTGACTTCAATTTATAAAACATCAGATTATTAAATGGGAGCACAATCTGCACATGGCCACAGCAAAAAACGTCATATTCGTGCGACAAGGAAAGACCCAGAATGGCCATTTGCTAGAAAGACGCTGCCGTTTAAAGTCATTTCACAGGTGAAAACTAAAAGATACTGTAGATAGACTGTTACAGAGGTTGAGTTGACATGTTATGTAAAGGCTTTCTACTTGAACTGTAAAAGCCTGCATTCAAGTTACAGTACTTAGGGCAGATAGTTTTCAGTGTTAGTTTGAAAATTTGGGCAGGTTTTGAAATAGCTCATACCGTTAAATCTTGTCTGAAAGAACTTATGGCAAGCATGTTGAGTTGACATTTGCCCCTAAAAGACGCACCTGGTTAAAGTCATTTCACAGGTAAAAACTAAAAGATACTGTAGATAGATAGTGAGGCTCAGGTTTTAAAATAGCTGACACCGTTAAATCTATTGAAAGAACTTACGACAGAATAATGGGGTCTAGTTTTGTTCTGGTGCTTCTGAGCTTTGATTCGAAGGCCAAAAGCTGTTTTCTATTTATTTATTTATTGAAATTGCGACGAAGACAATACAATGTGGACACAAGGCAGCTAATCAGCTGATGGCGTGACCACATACATAGAATATACATACATACATACAATATACATGTCAAACAGCAAATACAATTGAATAACAAGAAAGAGCTAAGAATCATGTACATCTATATACAAAAATAGCTAAGATTAGAAAGGTGCTAAGGCATGTAAATACCGTAAAGACTAGAACTTAGTACAATATGGAAAAGCAGAGGATCAGCCGGAAGTAAATCTTTTTGTAGATGTTATAAACGTGTGAAGTGCATCTGAAAGTTGCTTATTGATAATAGGGTCATGGTCTGGTGAACCTTGAAGTAGGAGGGAAACGGTGGGACGTTGTTGGACAAGTCGTTCAACAGCTGCAGTAAGTCTGCTGCGATGGTCAGAGTATAGGGGGCAATGTAATAAGTAGTGCTGGACTGTTTCAGAAGAAGAACCGCAGACACATGCTTTGCCCTTGATCTTCATCTTGTATAGTGTACTGTTCAGTTGGCACCAGCCCACGCGTAACCTGGTAGTGCGTATGTTGTTCGGCCTTGAGCCTAGAGTACGGTACATCTGATGATGCCTCGTGGTCAACAGGTGCTTTTTACTCGCTCTCTTGAAAGCAGCAAGGTTGCTGGCGTCTCTGACTGTCTGGGGTAGCTGGTTCCAAAGTGAAGATGTATGTGGAATAAAGCTGGTTTTATAAACCTGAGTCCGACAGCGAGGAACACAAAGGTGAGTATTGTTGCGTAGTTGTATACGTGTAAACTGGGAGCCCCTTGTTGGTGGAGTAAGCGACTGTAGATGTGGAGGTACGAGGCCTTTCGTCATCCTGTACATGATGGTGAGTGAGTTGTATTGTCGTCTAGAGGATTTTTTCTATGCACTGTTTTCTATGCACTGACTTTTGTTTCTCTGTCTTAAAGACGACGTTGTGGATGATCCGGAGACCAGACTATAGCAGAATGCAGGACCAGACTTTAGCCAGCAGATCTCAACCTGTGTAAAAGATGATGGGGAGGTGTGAGTATGTTTTCTTCATTAACACGAGACAACACTCCATATGCACACACTTGCACTCGCATTTCTCTTTTTTCGTGAGGAGCCATTTAACTGTTAATTGTAGCCGGCGACTTAAATTCCACGACAAGCAACACTAAAAAATTCTTCAAATTGTCCCCTCAAAAAAGTTTGAATCTCAGCCGGCCGCATCAATTCAAATTTCCATGTTGTTACCCTCTTCGCATTGTACGAATGCCAAATTGCCCCCAAAAACTGTCGCTTTAGACCTTTCTTTACAGTTCAATTCTCCTGCCAAAATAACTGCCAAATTGCCCCAAAATTGTCACTTTAGTCTGTTTCGGGGATCCGGAAATGCTATATTCAGTGTGCGCCTGCGCGAGGTTATTATAATTAGTCTCGCGAGATCTACCCTGCGTGATAAGGCGAGATCTTGTTACCCGGCCTTAGCAACAGGGTGATTACACCACGTAACCATGGTCTTTTGGGACGATTTAGTCATCAATCAACCCCAAAGTAGCTGTCTTACAAAAATTTAAACCCTGCCCTCTGGCATGCCACTGACCCCACGTCACCATCGGGGAATATCAGTGTCCTAATCCCAGACACATGTGGACATGTGCGTCTGGGCAAACTCCTACAGTTTTCTGGATTTACTCACCTTCAACTGCTCTTTTCACCCTTTCTCTCGGTTTTGACATGGTAATCTTTGTTTTCCTTATCAAATTCATACTTTTATCTTCTCAATGGCATACTTTCTTTGAACTGTGTGATTTTTCTTTTTCTTCTGTACGTCGTTGAAAATGTCACTGTAGACACGTGGGTTGGCAGGACTGAACCGTCCAGCATCTAGGTCACACTGCATTTCTTGTTTTCTATCTACTTTAACTTCGTAAAACTGAGATAAGAAATAAACATAATACTTTTAGTGACAACAGAACACAAAGAGATACAATTCTTTACAATAATTTATATATTTATGTCCTATATTCTGGTTTCAGTGTACAGGAAGTCGCCACCCCCCCCCCTCCCCTCACACATGGCTGTCATCTAGAATACTGTAGTGGTGACCTTTAAATTTCAGGCCAATTTTATTTTGTCTTACAATTATTGAAGTACTTAGCCTGTGCTTTTTCACCCTTTCACAATGTCTGCTAACTTTGGTCTGCAACATGTCCAAAATCTATCCAAACTTTGCCGATTTTGTGGCGAAACTGTTTTGACCAAACAAGACAAAGCAAACTTCTTGAAACCACATGCTTGCATTGATCATGTAAGCAAAATTCAAGAGGTTTGGAATGTCAATGTTGAAAATGACAAGAGTTACAAACACCCCCGTTCTTCTGCCATCGGTGCAAGTTAAAATTGTACAGGCCACCCACAGTTCATCCACCAAAGCGTGTGTCCTGGTACCCGCACTGGTGGGGTGATGGGTGTACCCATTGTGCCAAAGTTGCATCACTTGCCCGAGGTGGAAGACCGGTGAAGAAGAAATCCCCCGGCAGACCAAAGATGCAGACACCGAAGAATGATAAGGGTGAACAAGAACTGAGTGCTAGTACTGCCAAACCATCAGAAGAAGTGTTTGATTCATTGCTTGACAAGCTAGATGACTACCCATTTGATGAGGGTAGGTTTGAGCCCATTTGTAACCTTGATGCTTACAAGTGTGGCATTTGTCAGTCTTTCTTGTACCTTCCTGTTGAGACCCCTTGTGCTCATATCTTCTGTTTTGAGTGTCTACAAAAATCATTTGAGATAGGTAAACAAAAACTATTGACTGTGCTATGTGTAAATCACAAGTAATGCAAACTGATCTAAAACCTGTTCATAGAACCTGGGGGTCTTGCTACACCCAGTTGACATTTAGCTGCAAAAACTGTTTGTCTCAGTTAAGGCTGGAACAACTTAAGCACCACCTTGACTGCAACTCGAAAGCAGAAGACACAAAGGGTCCTTCCACTTCTGCATCATCACTGCAGCCTGTCCAAGTCATTCTTGTAGTACCCCCCATACCATGTAATCCTCCTACTGTTGCTGTCAACCCTACACAAAATAACCCATCTACATGTACATCATCTGCATCTAGTCATTCCACATCATCTTCACCTTCTTCAAGCCAAACCGTGCCAGGAGCTGCCCCTCCCTCCGGCACAGGTTACGGCAAAGTTACCATCGACATTAATGAAGAAGGTCCATTAACAGCAGAGCAGGAAGACATTTTTACGGCATTTTACCGCCGAAAAGTGGAGGCGAGTAATGACAAACGAAGTGTCCAAGTCAAAACTGGAGGACAGGTATGAAACAAATTCTTTTCTACATCTTTACCAATGTATTAGATCATATACACATTGTACTTTCACATGATTTGAATATTGAAATATGTGTTGGTCAGTGTGACTGAGAGCTTCAATCTCATTGCAGTTTACTTATACACGAAATAATATATATACATATAACATATATATATATTTCTTTTCAAATGTCTAGCCCCTGCATCTTGTACACATTCCAAAGCCCCGGAAAACTGCTAGTGAGTCAACACCATCCACTAGCAGGAAACGGGCAAAACTGATGCAGGGGGTGAGGGACCAGCTCAGCGGTGGGGACTCTGCAGCACTGATGAAGGAGGAGCTGCGCCTCCTTCCTCGTGATGAACTACAGAAAATGCTGCAGGAGCTGAAGCTGGACCAGGTCAGGGTTCCCACAGGCCACCTCCTCGCCGCTAAAGTGGGAATTGGAATGAACTGGAATCAGTGCAGGAAACTGAGAAGGTACATAAACAACACAAATCTATGTCTGAGCACAAAGATTTTCTGTGCAACCATTCTGAAGGCCATTCATATATATAACTTGGTTTAAGTATGTTATGTTGTTTTGCTACAGATGGCTAAAACAATATGGAGTGAGTGTGGAGAGTGAGAAAAAATCCAGGGCTGTGGCTGCTGAGCTCCTCTCCAACATCACAATAAACGCAGAGAAGTTACCTTTTTCTGTGAAGGCGAAAGATGACGGCACTGTGGAGCTTCTGCCCTGCGCCTATGTCTCTTCCCTGAAGGACACCATACTAGACAACCTGGAAAGAAGCAGGAATGCAAGGTGAGGCATTGCAATCTTCAAATTGTGTATTTATGTCCATGGTTGAATTATTCAAACATTTGACAATGAAATCTTATGATACATATTTCCTCTTTACAGCAGCCTAACCTGGCATGATACAACAATTCCCAAGGAGGAGATCTGGGTCAAGCTTGGAGGGGACCATGGGGGAGGGTCATTCAAAATGGCCTTCCAGGTCCTCAACAAGCCCAATCCCAACTCCAAGGATAACACAAATGTGTTTTGTGTTTCCAACGACCAAAGACAGCAGGGAGAATCTAAACCTTGCTACTAGCAGGTTTTCCTCTGACATCAGGGATTTGCAACATTCAAAGTGGAAGTAAGTTGACAACTCTTGTTGTACATATGACTTAAAAGCATTTCACATCATCACTCAAACATGAATCTGAGATCTCCCCAGACTCCCCTCTTTGGTATAGGCACACGTTTCCCTTGCCTACTAACAGGTAACTTCAAATTTGTATTGCAGGTGTCAAGATGGTGAAGAGTATTCCCTTCGACTTTTTGCGGCTGGGGACTACGCATACCTGTGCCTGTGGTATGGCTTGTCTGGTGCTTGTGGTAAGGAAACACTCAACCACTCACTCACACCCACTATCTGGTTTAACAATTAATGATATGTTTGAATTATTCTCCATGTATGCCGTACCCACAGTTTTTTTGTACTAGTTAGTCTTTCTAAACCGGTCTTATCTATCTACAACAGGACTGACTCCTTGCTTGTGGTGCCACATCACGCAGGAGGAGATCAGGGACAAAGACAACTGTCGCCTGAGAATCCCGCCCAGAACTCTGAACAGCTTGGCTGAAGACCACCTGAAGTTTGTGCGTGATGGCAAAGGGGCGCACAAACTCGCCAAGCTGCACCACAATGCCATTGCACCAGTTATGTTTGACGTGCCCATAGACCAGGTTAGTCTGAATATAAATGACATGTTTGCAGCAAATACATGTACATCTAAATTCTTATCCTTGATTCCTTGGGCATATCTATAATGGTTTAAGCCACCACTGACTGTGTTTACACTTTTTTACAGGTTGTGATACGACGAAGGAACTTATATCAATATGATATATCAAACGAAGGAACTTTCTGGCAAGACACTACAATGTTACCACAATGACAGTGGTAAGTGAAATGATCATAATATATTACGTTTGTTGAGAAATCAGGCCATGTATAATAACATGTTTGCTTTTAGATATCCATATAGCATGATACATGTCTCATTGGTTCTCAGCCCTCTGAGCAGAATGATGCTATCCGTGAGAGAAACAACACGGCACCGAGGAGGAACAACAAGATCTCAAGCTGAAACTGAAGACCGTCTGCAACAAGATGGGTGAGTCACTTTGGAAGAAGCCGACGTACAGAGAGGTAATTTCAC